CTATTAAATACATACCTGTGTTCTACATAAGTAATTATCACTTACCTTTCACTCCTTTGTCCGTGAAATACCTGTACCACAAGTTATCCCTCTGCTACAGTATTTTCACGGTCAAATATTATTACAAATAAATATGTACATGTATTAAATAGTAAGTATTAAGTGTCAATAGAATTAATACATTCAATACATGCACTGATCACAATTATGACTACATTATTAGAGGATCTGTTAAGTACATGCATCAAGAGCAACTAGTACATTGATCAACTAGTACACAATTATGATGTCACTTGCAGATCATGACAAATAATGATCAGTCACTCAATTGATGTGCTCATTCTCCTGGCCAAAGCTCCCTTGATTCTGAGCGCTCATTCTTTCCCTCCTTCAATATTCTGGAACTTATAATCCGTGCCTCTTTCACTGATTAATCCCCAGAATATTCAGACACAAGTTAAACACAGTTAACATTTATATTGATACCTTTACCCGTACTTCAACATAGATCAAGCCTATACTTATTGTTCTTAAGCTACAGTCAACAACTCTACTTATCCACAGTATTCATAGCCTTGCTGAATATTCCCATCAACAATACCTATTAATCTTCAACTAATTTTGTTAAAGCTTAATAAGTATTGTTAGCCCATTCCCTTTGGGGAATAACCTTTAATCCCAGGTGAGTCTTAGTACCCTGGATGCCTATTAATACTATGTATTGATTTGGATGCGCTGTTGATAGCAAGCCTCTCAGTAAAGACCATGCTGATTGAGTGAAATCTCCTCCTTACAGGATTGATCTTACCTAAACCCACTAACACTCACCACAATAAAAACTTCAGTCAACTCCTAGTAACAACCATTCTTATTAAAACACTCAGGTTAGTTACCCAGAGGCTGACAACACACGGGAACCGCTATCGGCAACCAGCTCATCAGTACGATTGGTGACTGGAAAATGATTGATAAGGTGGCATTCATTACTGTTGATAATGCCAGCTCCAACGATGTCGCTATTTCGCATGTACAATCGGTCTTGATCGAACGAAATCGTAGCGCACTCGAGTTCAACGGTGATTTCTTCCATTTGAGATGTGCCGCTCATGTAATCAATCTAATAGTCAAGGATGGCCTCAAGAACATTTCCGGTTCAATCACCAAAATCCGAGATAGTGTAAGATACTCCAAAAGCACTCCTTCACGCAAGCAAGCCTTCCAGGATGCGATCAAGTCCTCGCGCATGTCCAAGCAAGCTCTCCCATCGATCGATGTCCCAACATGTTGGAACTCTACCTATCAGATGCTCAAATCTGCCTTGCCATACAAGAAAGCGTTCGATATCTTAGCAACCGATGATGCAAATTTCACAACTTGCCCCAATGATGAAGAGTGGGAGGAAATCACAACGATGCAAGACTTCCTTGCTATATTCCACACAGGTTTGTGATTTCTCTATCTCCTATAAAAATTTCACCTTATTCCTTACTGATTATTGATTATCTATCATATCCCAAAGCTACATTGAAGCTAGGAATGACACACTACCCCACTGCGCATTTGTTATATAAAAACATGAAGAAAATCGAGAAACATCTCAACGAAGCTGTCAAAAACGGTCCTCCACATATTGTCAGTATAATAAGCCCGATGCAGGAAAAATACAAGAAGTACTGGAAGAAAATGAACACCTTCGCAGCGATCAGTATTGTCTTTGACCCTAGGTGTAAAATGGAGCTTATCGACTTCTTACTCTCCGAGGAACTCAGTCCTGAAGAACTCTCAACTAGCCTCCACAATATAAAATCCAACATTTCCAGCTGGTTCAATGAACTTACTGGCCGTGATGGAAAAGATATTTCGAAAAATCCTCATCGATCAATCAAAGAAAAAACTGCGGATACTGTCACCGAGACCGACGACAACGATCGATTCAAAAAATACCTTGCGGGTAAGAAGTCCAATCAAACAGTCTCACCTACCGCCGAATTGGAACTATACCTTCAAGAAGCCACGGTCGAAATCGACACCCCCTCTTTTGACCTTCTCAACTGGTGGAAGGTCAACTCGCTCAGGTTTCCTACGCTTGCAACGATGGCCAAGACTGTATTGATGATTCTGATGACGTCGATTGCATTGGAATCAGCTTTCTCAACAGGCGGTAGGATGCTGAGCGATTCTCGAAGCAGACTGAAACCCGAGACCCTTGAGGCCCTAGTTTGTGGCCAAGATTGGATCAGCCACGATGAGGGTATCGATGATTTTAACAATGAATTCGATGAGTTGACAGCAGAGAATGTGATTGTTATTTCTTGATCTTTTCTCCTTCATCAATAATGTACACACAAGTCGTCGATTGCTTTTTCTTTTCTTCGTTGCATACACGATTCCTTCTATACACGATTCCTTCTATCATACACGATTCCTTCTATTGCGACTGCATACATGATACAATCTAGCCCTCTTATCAAAACGCATGACTTGAAATAGTATACACACAATTTTAAATAGTAGATACACACGAAAATATAAAAGTTTTGAACTGTTTTTTTGCCGGGTTGGCCCGGACCCGACCCAAGACCCGACTCGACCCGAGGCGTTCTAAATTGGGTCGGGTTTGGTCAGATCTTTTCCAAATTTGCCCCGACCCGCCCCGACCCATTGTTTTCGCGGGGCGGGTTTGGGCACTGTTTTTTGACCCGAACCCGGCCCATTTGGATCCTGAATCACGACAAGCTGATTAAATGATTGTATGCTGATACCTTTAGCACGATTATCAAGCACAACGAACAAAGGCAGGAGGTGAAGAGGAAGAATGTTCAGGAGACAATTATCCACTGTTCAAATTGACTTTAGCAGCCTTGTTGGAATTTCAGTTTCTTACTCATGCCTCACTTCTTGCCTTCTTGATTTCTCCATCCCATTTCATGACATGTTTCCCTTATATTCAAATCTTGTTGGATCTGCTCGCTAGTCACTAGAAGTCTTCTCCTACATAGTCTGACATTATCTCCTGTTATGAAGGTTATCCCCCAGCTTGTGGTCAATGAACCCTGTCTGAGGAGGGTATTTCTTCTCTCTCATGTAGTCTTGCTTATCTTTTAGGTTATATTCCATTCTTGCTCAGTTTTACAGCCTCAAACTGCCATGGCATACACCACAAGTTGGCAATTTGGTTGCTAAAAATTGGTGTCAGGTGTTTTCCTGTGCTGATGAGTGGTGTGTGGGAATTGAGTTTCACAGTTTGGTCTTGTGTGAAAGTGCAGTTAGTGCACAGGCAAGTCTCCAGAAGTCCCTACATGTGAGGACTTAATTTAGGGACTGTTGTAGATTGTAGCAAACAATGGGTTATCTCAAATCCTTAAATTCCACATGCAGACCCAATTTATGTCCCAGGTGGAGTTACTCTAAGGCTCAAAGTTGGCCTTTTTTGCAGGAGGGCAGGGCCATGTTATGCCATCTGCAACTGTAGGTACAGAGTTTACCCACTCACTAAAAAGGATTCCTCCTCATTGGTGGGGAACAAACTTGACACTAGTCTTGGCTGTGGCGGGCGCATCTGGCAGTGTAGCACCAGCAGGCAGTTCCCAAAGGGAACTCCCCGCAGGGGAGACTTGAGCCAAAGGTCAACAGACTTGTGTGCCAAGAGAGATGTGTTTTGGTGGGAGCAAGTTCCATTTTGAAACCACGTGAGCTCCTCCCAACCCTTTTGATGTTTGGTAATGGTTAGATTTTATTTATTGGCTGCATGTTAGCTTCCATACAACCAAAACTCAAAACAGCTGCAGGTGGTTGTGATTTTAAAATGATTTTATAAATTCACCATTTCAACTTTTTTTAGGCTGGTAAGAAGAGTTTGATCAACTTGCTCACGCCATAGGAAGCCAACTTATGTTAAAAATACATCATTTTCAAAAGTATATTGAAATAAACTGAGAACAATCAAAAGAAAGAAAGAAAGCAGCATAGGAACATGTACAAGTAGCACACCTTCCATGGCTGCAAAGGCAATCTCACAAACAACAATCATGAAGTGTGTACATACATTGTAACTCTAAACCGCTTAAGGCATAGGCCTCCACTGGCATGGACAGCTCTGCTGCTTGCTACCACTCCCGCCATGGAGGACTACACCACAGGACAAGTTTGATGTCCCATGGACACCATTCTGGACAGCATCTGAGCTGTCCAGCACTTGCAGGGCAGAGAGTGTCCATTGGACACTACTCTGCCTGACAATTTGTGGACAGTTTCCACAAAACTGTCCACTGGATGGTTTTCAAGCCGTCCATTGGATGATCTTGTTGGGTTGCTGCAGTGAAAAGAAAAAGAAAGTGGAGTTCATGATTTGAACTGGAAGCCTACTGTGCCATACCATCAGATAACCACAAGGCTCATCCTTGCTGACTGCACCATGCAGGATTATTCTTGTAGGCAAGCCTGAATTGTTGTATATAGACCAAACTCAGACTTTGGAGCAAGTTTTCAACAATTGACAGAACTTTCACAGCTTTTTTTTTGATGACCACCTTTATTTGTGGAGCAATTTTTGACCATTGCCTGCAATTTTGGAGCAATTTTCGACCATCGACCGCACTTTTGGAGCTTTTTTTGACCATCAACCACACTTTTGGAGCTTTTTACAACCATCAACCACCAGCTCCAATCAGGAATTTTAAAAAAAAAACATCAACCATTGGACACTCCCCGCTGGAGAGTGTCCAACGGACAATGAATCTAGCATCCATCGGACACTTTATCTTTGGCCATTGTCACTTGGATGCTTTTGGAAGCATCCAAGTGATGCTCGCTTGCCATATCGTCCATCCGACGCTCTGATCGCATCCGTTGAACACTTTCCTCAGGAAAGTGTCCATCGGACCGGGCCAGTTTCAAAAAACTCACCCCTTGGTGTAGTTAAGCTCGGGTGGGGAAGGATGTAACCACTTGCCAAAGAAGAATCTTGCGAGGTATTCTCTGAAACGAGGTGATTGTGTTAAGCTAGCTCATGTACCCTCAAAATGTTTCAAGTAGATGTTATTGTTTGGATTTTGGAGTTTGAGAAGTTCCTCAATGGAGGATCATTATTTTTGATTGCGTCTCGAGGATGAAAGGAAATTGAGATTTTTGAGAGAGAAGTGAGGAAAGGGCGGGTGTAAAAGATGAAAGGAGATGACGGTGGAGGGGAATCGGGGTTTCAAGTAGACATAGTTTGAAAATTCTTTTTTGTTTCTTTTTCGAGCTGGACAGCTGACAAGTACCAAGGAGCAAAAAAAGAAAGAAACATGAAATAACATTTTGAGAAAAAAACTCTAGATTGGCAAACAAAATGGCCTTCGAGAAATGCGATTGAGGGTTTTTTGTTGGTATGGCAAAGATTAAGAAATTAACGGGCAGTTCCGGCCATTGCCTTTTGCATGGCTCGTTTCAGGCCCAATTGGCACTTCTTCAGCTCATCTGCGCTGGAATCTGAAGAAATAAAAGATTTGCAACGAGTCAGCTTAGTCCCGAAAGCTGTGATTATGTGATCGATAACTCACCCTCGATCTCCAATTTTTCAAGAGCTTTGGCAAGTTCAGCCTCAACGGCAGCCTTGTTGTTTCGCTTGATTTTCATACCGACTTCAGGTGAAGTGATGGTAGCTTCGACCTGCGAAATGTAAGACTCGAGCTCCTGCTTGGCCTCGTGCTTGGCAGAAAACTCTTTGTCGGCCTGTTTGAAGGATTCGGCGTCCTTGATCATTTGATCAATCTCGGCCGAGGATAGACGACCGACCGAGTTGGTGATCGTGATGTTGGCCCGTCGTCCAGAAGTTCGATCAAGGGCTGAGACCTTCAGCAGACCATTGGCATCAACCTCGAAGGTACAAACAAGCTCGGCCTGTCCTCTGGGCTGAGGAGTGATTCCAGAGAGCTAGAATGGTAGTCTCGCGTCAGTTACGAGAATTGTGTCAATCGGAGCATCAGATTCATCTGAAACGCACCTCAAATTCACCGAGCAACCTGTTTTCCTTGCAAGTGACACGCTCCCCCTCATAGACCGGGAAGGTAACTGTGGACTGGTTGTCTTCGACGGTGGTGAATGTTCGAGATTTGTTGGTGGGGATAGGAGTGTTTCGGGGAACGACAACACCGAAGACGTCACCCTGCATGGCAACACCCAACGATAGAGGGGCAACATCCAATAGTAACAAGTCGGCAGTCTTCTCACTTGTTTGGCCGGTAAGAACGGCAGCCTGGACAGCTGCACCGTAAGCAACAGCCTCGTCGGGGTTGATGCTCTTGTTCAATTGGCGCCCACCAAAGAAGTCGGATACCAGGGATTGAATTTTGGGAATTCGTGTGGATCCACCGACAAGGACGATATCCTCCACCTTCGACTTGTCGATTTTAGCGTCCTTGAGGACCTTGTCGACGGGGTCGAGGGTTGATCGGAATGTCTGGGCATTGATCTCCTCGAATCGGGCTCGAGAGATCGCAGATGAGAAGTCGGTTCCTTGGAACAGAGAGTCGACCTCGACAGTGGTTTGGGTGACAGAGGAGAGCGTTCGCTTGGCTCGTTCACATGCAGATCGAAGACGACGAAGAGCACGGGCGTCCCCATCGATATCGAGCTTGGTCTTTCGCTTAAATTCATTCTTGAAGTGTTCGAGGAGCGCGTTGTCAAAGTCCTCGCCTCCCAAATGGGTGTCACCGGCGGTAGCCTTGACAGTGAAGACGCCACCAGCAATCGAAAGCAGGGAAACATCGAAAGTACCACCTCCAAGATCGAAAATCAGGACTGTTCGCTCCTTCTTTTCTTTCTTGTCGCTGGCTTCACCAAGACCATAGGCAATTGCAGCGGCGGTGGGCTCGTTGATGATACGGAGCACATCCAGACCAGCAATGGCACCGGCATCCTTGGTTGACAATCGCTGGGAGTCATTGAAGTAGGCAGGCACGGTGATGACAGCCTTCTTGACTTCCTTGCCCAGTTTGGTCTCAGCGGTCTCCTTAAGCTTAGCGAGAACCATGGCAGAGATCTCCTGAGGAGAAAAGGTTTTGGTTTCTCCCAAGTAGTCAACCTTCGGAAAGGAAAAGACGTCAGTTGACTGCATTCAATGGTCAAGTATGAAGTCGGGGTCGGGTTAGAGCTCACTTGAATGAATGGGTTACCATCCTTCTCGATGACAGCGAAGGGCCAGTGAACCATGTCCTTCTTGACATCACTGTCATCAAAACGACGACCGATAAGACGTTTGGCGTCAAAGACGGTCATGCGGGGGTTCATGGCGGCCTAATTCGCAGCAGGATTGAAACGCGATGATCAAGCAACAGAGAGAATGAGAATGAGTTGATGGCGAAGAACCGAGGTGAAATGAGATTGGTGATGAGGGGAGACGAACCTGGTTTTTGGCGGCATCACCTATCAGACGCTCCTCGGCGGTGAAGGCGACATAAGATGGGGTGGTTCGGTTACCCTCTGTGGACACGATCCAGCAGTCAGTACAGTGGAGCAAGAGCAATGGTAAGATGAATCACTTACGATCATTGGCAATGATCTCCACCCGATCGTTCTGCCAAACACCTACACAAGAGTAAGTGGTACCGAGATCGATACCGATGGCACCATTGAATTCGGTGCTCTCGGCTTCGGCGCCGGGGACGTTGCCATCAACGGTTGGGGTTTGTTCGGCAGACCTGGAGGATCAGCGGAGAGAGGGAGACACAAGTTAAGCGCACGGTGATGTTTGGTATTTAAGACGGTCAAGATGATAGTCGATCGAATCGAGCAGCAATCCAATGATCGAAACACGTGAGGCGGTTTAGGATGAGACAAAGCAAGCATTAGTACTTACATTGCTAGTTGAGAGTGGGATGGAGAAGGGTGAAGTTGATCAGGAATCAAAGGAACGAAGGCTGCCGGTCAAGAGGAGACAGTGTTCTGTTGTGTCCGGAGGGTGAGGAGGGAGGGAGGGGGAGGCACAGGCTGGTCAAACGGTCAACAGACTCGAAAAAATTCAAATCCCACCCAACCCAAAAAAAAAATGAGAAAAAAACCATGACAAAAACCAGTACAAAATCAATTGGACTCACATGATAGTAGCATATAGGGCCTATCAAGCAGGCTATAAGCATCAGACTGCCCTGGGTGTCGAACCCCGGTTTGTGCTTTTTGAGCAAGCTGGTTGTGACATCTGTCTGACAGGGAATCAACATCCTTCGAAGTACCGTGCCGGTATGTGAAAATGCATATTGTATGCATGTAGAGCTCGGCAAATTGATGAGCCGCATCCGACTGCGGTGGGTACAGCCAAAGCCCCAGCCTGAAGACAGAGCTTTCGCGTTCACTCCCCGAATTCCGCCTGATCATGGCAACACGCTCCCATTGAAGCCTCCACTGTTTCATCCCATCCTTGAGGAGAAAGGAGACCATACGGACGCAGCATTGACTGACCTTTATAATCCCTCAAAATGTTACATCTGTCTTTGCACAATTTGAAACGCCTAACTGCGGACTGACCCATCTTTGGGTCTCGAAAGTCGCGTGTGTACTGAGAGCTTTGGTGCACACATGAGATGCAAAGCTCGATGCAAAGTCTTTCAAAATCGGCCTCTAACTTAACCAAGTCCCTGCAATTGGGGGGGACGCTGTCGCGCAGGGAGTCAGGGACCCTCCCTCCCTCCGGTCGGCGCAATTCGACAAGTGGTTTTACCACTCCGTCAAAGGGGGGGGGGGGGGGGGGGGGGGCAAGGACTTAAGTTAGCTTAGATCGGGCTCAAAGCACTGAGGGAGTCGGTCCCATGCATTCTAGGCCCACTTTTCTACACTCGGTGTTCTGATTGTGGTTGAGCTCTTTGGAGAGTTCAACTTCATGTGATGGCGGAGTGCGCGGGGAAAGCTCTTGGAGAGAGCACATCACATTGGTTGAAACGCTTTCAGGTATTTTAGATCGAAACCTATGTTGAAGCTGATAAAATATCTTTATACTAGGAAAGAGAAGTGCGTTAGAAAGAATACAGACTTTAACTTCTGCTCAAGCAGTACCATGAACTTTTGCATAATTTTTTTGAGTGCTGGGGTTTTTTAGAAGGAAATTACTGACCTGATCTCTCAGTCAAAGTTTGTCTTTTTTACAGTTTGTTTGAATCCATAACTTCGCAGTATTAGTGCTAATTTTTAACACATGTGAAAGGTGATATGTATGCTGGTTGGATTGGCCCAGGGACTTCAATGTTATCATTCAGAATTCCATCCTGCTGAAACAAAATGATGTGGGGGTGGGCATGAATGGAAGATGTGGTGGGATAGGGCCTAGAAGGCCCTCCACGCCAAGAAAATCTAGGACCTTTGCCCAAGTGACTGTGGTGGAGTGGGTTAACAAGAAATTCTGAGGCCAGCCGCCAGTGAGCATAATGTAACCTTGACCAAGTCAAGTGCTGGTGGTTTTTTATGGTTATCCGTACCGTCATTAACGATCTTGGCCATTTGGGAGCCTTTGGGATATGTATCATGAATTATCATAGCTTAATATCGGGGCTCATCCGTGTCCAACATGGTCCTGATCCAGATCGACTGAAGTGCGGATCACTCTCAGCAACGCCCAACGGAGCCTCGCTCGGCTTCGTGGGACAAATCACAAACCCTGTTCGTGTTCCACTGTTGTCCAACTTGGTCCTCAACTTTCCATCAGATTGGACTCTGCTTGTCAATTCTAATCGCCAATAAAACATGACAAGTAAATAAAACATTATTATGTATTACAATTTTAAATCAAGCATATTGCAGCTTGCAGGTCCTACATACTGTCAGGGCACGTCAACAGCTGGATATGATTTTACTGAGATTTGTGGAGGGTGAGGGCACACGTACCCCCCACCAATTGTTTCGATTTGAGCTTTCACCTCAGTGCGATTCTCCCGAATATTTTGTTGAACAGAGTCAAGTCGAATCCCAGACGAAACGGCATAACAGACTTCGAACCTCTTCGAATCAGGTGCAACTGCGATCCAAGTCAGTCAGATGGCAACAATTGCGAGTAACGGAGCTCTTCACAGCATCCTCGGTGGCCTTCAACCTGGTGGAACATGTCTGTCGTGGATGGCGGGCTTGGTAGCCTGCGAAGCTCTCCGATTGACCCAACGTTTCACCAAAAATACTTCTTGGTTCACACGTTTCTTTGTATATTTTGCCTTAGCAATGTCGGTGACTCTGGCGGGGTATGGATCTCTCTTTCCTCCTTGAATTATCAACCGTACGGACAAGCGCAAACTCATCTCTCCCTTTTTTGTACGCGCGGATCCGGATTTCATTTATCATTGTGGTCGGCTGGATATCCAAAAATGAAGCCTGTTTGCGTCAGTCTTGTATCATTATTGTGTCGAGAGTTATGGGAATTACGAGGCCCTTAGACATATCACTAGGGTTCTACGGTAAGCTTCATGCTTGGACTATCTTATCACAAATTGAACACTGCAACTAATTGGGCTGATGATTGGTTCCTAGGTTTCATTTCGTTTGTAGTAGGGTCGTAAGTTGATTGGTGACTGGCAGTCTTGGCCCTGTGCTTCATCCCTCTTGTCTGACCTGATTGCGGCTGAATTCGAACACTTTAGGCAACATTTGCAGGTGGGATGGTTTATCTATCTCCATAAAAAGTTCATTGAAACCTGATGATCTTAAATCTGTTACACAGGATTCTTATTTTACACGCAATCTGTCTGGGGTTCCAAGACAGGGAAAATGAAGATATGCAAAATTCCAATCGTCCAACTCATCCTTGTGATGGTGAATATGTGCCTTTACGCCTTATTCACTCTCCGAATCATCCGGTTGTTCAGCTTGGCAACCTTTGAGGATTTTGCCGACACATGGCTGTTTGAGAGATCGTGAGCGGTGCTTCAACCCGCCCCAATCATTTGTTCGCGTGGGATTTACGCTGATTCCTGTTAACCAATCTATAGAGGGCAATCTGTTCAGGTATACCATCTACAAATCACACCGCATAACTCCTCTATACCAGCTTCAGATCACTAATCAACATTTGTGAAACCACTATCAATCAAAAGCTGGGTTGCGGTGTTGTATTGACCTTTGTCAAGGCATATGATCTTTCGCGCTCTGATGATATTTCGAAAGTACTTGCCATGAAGAATGACCCGTTTGTTTTTCCACTAATGCTTGTCCATCGATGGTCGAAACAATCTGACAAATATGCAATGAACAGGTTTCGATGCGCTTGGGGTGTATTATGCTTACTATGCCAAACAGCCATATTCCCGACGGTCTTTGACACCATCTCGGTGTGTCAAAATCAAAAACATGGGATAAGTGGGGCGAGTTACAGTATCTTGTGAGCAATATATATAAGCACTCTCGAGTCTGCTATATACTTTGTACATCTTTTGATGAAATATTCTGGCGGAATTCGAAAACAGGTCTGTCAGCGCTGAACTTCATTTATTTGGACCTGTAAGCTCCAATACCATCTCTGCTTCAGCGCTCTAAGGCCTCAGGTACTGATGCCCATCGAATTCAGATAATGGCCATCAGTGCTGCGCTTGACGACGATGACACGATTGTTTGTGGGACGCCCTGCCCCGTGGGAAGGAGTGATCGGGATGATGGAGATGCAGGTAAAAGGCATATCACATTCCAATCACTGGATAAGAGGGTAAGTGATAACCCATTCTGAAGCTTTCAGCTGGCTGGATCTCTCGATGACTTATTGGCTTTCGCGAAAACAAGTAGGAAAGACATGACACATAAGACGTCGAGCTGAGTGTAAATTGGTATTGGGCATTAATATGGAGTATAGCTTCGCTTGTGATTTCTTTGCTTCAACTCGTCAAAATGAATTTTGGGAATGTGTTTGGTTACAGAGAAAAATGAGGATTGTGTTATATTTAGTTCACCTTTTCTTGTCATCGGTAGTAGTCACCAAATGGGCCCTGAGAAACAACATCACAGAATGAAAACAAATCTTGACCAACCTCACAAGGGCCGTACCAAACCATCGCCCTAATGTATGTAAGTTTTATCACCAAGTCAGATTTATCGTAAGTTTTATCACCAAGTCAGATTTATCGTAAGTTTTATCACCAAGTCAGATTTATCTTCAGGGAATAAATCTGGGCCTTCGGGGGGCGACATAGGCTTCAGATGAACGGAACAAGTCCTCCAAATTGATTCCCATACCACAAGTACAATGATGAACAACATCCCAACTTGTGCCCAATCAGAAAATAGCCTTTTTGGATTGGTTAATGTGCTATCAAATCCTTTCGGCTGGTTTGGCCTGGGAGGGCCTCCCGTGGGAGCCGGGTGTGTCTCCTCGAGACCCGTTCACTGCGGAGCTTGGGCTTGGACAGCTCAGATTTACACCCAGGCCCGCCCGGTCAGCAGCTCCCATTTCATTTTACAACCTCAGCTTTCACCGAAGCCTGCCAACCCATCAATAACACTTTACAGACGAAACGGACACTTCAGAATGGATCAAGACGCATTTCGAGCCCTTCTTAGTACACCCAACCCATCCCGACCAACTCAGTCATCACGTCCTAATGGCCGGCTAGTCCTTGGTGGTGGTAGCGCCGGCAGATCTGCAAATTCCTCACAAGCGTTAGTTCTATTCTTATCGAGACATCTCCTTAACATGTCATTGACTCATAGAGTTAATGCTGGAAACTAATCAAGTCATCCTTGAAATTTAAAAACAAAATTAAACAGTTCCGGATCGACTTATAAGCCAGGATCATCGTCGACATCCCTTAAGCCGCGAAAATCCAAACCCAAGGACTCTGCAGATGGTTCCGTCAAGGACTCAGATCGCTCTTCGCGTGGTGGATATCGAGATCGAGCATCAGAACGGCGCAAAGGTTTGGACGGGGACTTTGCTGAGGCTGAACACTTACTTGAGGTTACTAGGAATTTTTCATGCACTCAACTCAAATTCGCAATATTGTGCCGAAATTGATCATTTCATTTCTTCTTGTTCTTCAAACGTAGAACTTTCAAGCTCGGGTGGCAGCGGCTGGAAGTCAAATTGATAAGGACGTATTAGAGCAACAGACCAAGTATCTCGTGAGCATCAGCCTTGAATCATGTCGAATTCAACTATTTTCCATCTGATCTGATACTCAATTCAAGGTTTTTTTCTTGGAAAGGGTGGAGATGAAAGACACACGATTCTTGTGAAAGGCCTGGATCACGCTCTGCTAGAAAGAAGGAAAGCCGAATTATCGGAGGGTGGCAAGCTCGGCCAAGTGACAGACGACGACCTGGAGATTGCGTATGAACAGAATGCCAAACAAGCTCCGCCAGAAGACCTCGCTCCGTCGAGCACGACCTCGAAAGCCGTGAAAAGGAAGCATCGGGATGAATTGATAGAGCAGTTAAAGAACGCACGAACCCCTGCCGACTTGGTCGTCGTTGAAAAACTCAAGGCTGCTGGGAAGTTCAAGCCGATCGGCTTTGCCAGTGTCGAGGATAAAAAACAGGACGATGAACGTGCAGAGCGCAAACGACGGAAGGCTGAGAAGAAGAAAAAGAAAGCTCTTAAGGCAGAGCAAGTCGTCGATACGACGCCACCAAATCCCATGCCAGACCCAGTGATCGAGAAAGCTCAACAAACAAGCAATCCAACTGTCCTAGAAACATCCACCACGGCAGAAAAACATGTGTTTGATGCCCGTGAAATGGTACCACCGAAAATCACAAAATCTATCGAACCATCGAGCAATTCAAATTCCATAGCCATCTTACCCAAGACCCAGGCTCAACCCAAGGAGACAATGAAAAAGAACGAGCCAATCGAAGATGAAGACTTCGATATTTTCGGTGACGCAGGAGAGTACAAAGGTCTGGATGATGACAGTTCAGAAGATGAACGAGATAGAGATCGGAAGGTGGAAGAGTCTGTACCCAGGGGCGCTGCTTTGGGCTCTTCTGATGCCAAGAAGAGAAAGACGTATTTCGAAGACGATGAAGTTGAATCTGACTCGAATGATGCAGAAAAACCCAATCCTGTCGAGGAGTGTGTTAGAAAGGCACAGGAAGCCCGGCGGAAATCGATGGCGATTGAAGAACCAGAGGAAGATCCAGAAATGAGAGACCGATTGACTGGAGAGGCTCCACCACCCGACGAAGCTCCTCCCCGACCGACCAAACTGGAAGGCCTCTCCGGATCTGCCGACATCCGATCCATCCTCGCCGCCGATGCATTTCAGGAGAAAGAAGAGAAACGGAAGGCTAAGAAACAGAAAAACAAATCGGAGGGCAAAGTCTTGACCGATAAAGATCGTCTGAATCGTGACGTCTTGGAAATGGAAAACCACCTGAAGCGGAAAAAAACTAAGAATGATCCTTCAGCAACAAGTTCCAAATCTTGAAGAAACAGACATCTTCCCTTCCCATCACCCTGTATTTTTTTCTATGACTTTGATCATCAATGGCAACATCTTTCACATCTGTATTGCTTTCTGCAATATGCTATGTAGTTTACTACTCATCAATAATACCTTGTTGACCTGTCTGTACATGATGATCTAAGACTCAATGCTGGCTGTCTAGAATCTGTTGAGCAATGATGCAGAGTCCTCCAAGGGCTGAAGAATAAAATGATTTGAAATAGGGACTCTTGGGGGAGGGGGGCATTTCAGAGAAAGCAATAGACATTCTGTTGCGAGGGAAAACTATGTGTCAAAATTCAACATGATTCTAACAAATCAGATGATAAAAATCTTAAAGGATGGACCCGGGGAACTTTCATGGCACTTGCCTGAGTAGTGCCTAGTACCAGCAAGTTACTTGACTGCTTCAAATTGAAAGCAGCATATTATTTCAATAAAAACAACCATTCCAATCTCAATTCAATGGACTTTCTGTACTTAAGCATATCTCAAGCAGTGTGTAAATCAATGAATAGGCACAATAAGGATTAAATATGGGGGCTTAGAAAAACAACTCCAAAGGATTTATCAACAACTACCAAATACCATTGACAGATATCTATTGAGAGTTGTTCCTCCAAATGGATGGCCAACTTTGGAAGTCAGCCATCCAGTTTTTTTTTTTCAATTTTTTGGGAGTCAGCTGCCCAAACCACCCCTCATGTATGAGGGGGTTTGGGAGTTGCTCCCACTTGACCAGAAGGAAAAATCCTTCCAATCAGTGAGGTTGTTATACCTCCTTGAGTTTGATGAGGTATAACAACCTCATCAACTGCAGCAATGGGCTGCTACACTACACTACACTAAACAGACCACTAACTTTAGTGTAGCGGCCCTCAAAACAGTGCACGTGACCAATGCTGTAGTGTTAGCACACTGTTAGCCGCACTGCGCTGCATCATGCTGTGCTACAGCACTTTTAGAGGCAAGAACAGCCAAAAAAACACTAAAATGTGCTGTAGTGCAGTGTAGTGGCATTTCTTTTGGGCCTGCAAGCATAGAATATGTGCAGTTGGGGTGGAATTCTGCTGCACAACGCTGAATGTTAGCAGAAATCTGCTACTTTACTCTGCGCTAACGCTATGGTTTGCATAACTGGCCCATTGTTGTCAACTGGAAGGAAATCCTTTTGGTCAATGAGGTACAACAACCTCACTGACAAGAGGGAATCCCTTCTGCCAAGTTCTGGTCTAGGGGGTATAACAACCTGACTGACCAGAAATATTTCCTTCTGGTCAAGTGAGAGTGACTACCCCCCAGGTTTGAGGGGTTGTTTGGGCAGCGAACTCCCCCCAAAAAAAGAAGAAAAAATCATAATAATAATAATGGATGGCCAACTCCCTGATGAGACAGACAGAGTCTGGGTCAGAACCAGAGATAGTGGAAGGATTGGTTAGCATTGCATTCAGAAATGATAATATGATCCTAAAACAAAACAAAACAAAAGCAAAGCAAAGAGAAAGAAGAAAAGAGAAACAAAAGGAAAGACTTACCTGGGTCAGAACCAGAGATAGTGGAAGGATGAGGAAAAGGAGTCCTTCCACGTACTCTGATCTGGCCCAGGTGTACTACAGGATCTGTGATAGGTCTGTGACAGGTATGTAGCACATAGACTGAACTGAAAGAGTAAAAATGAAAATGACTACTCAACACTCCCAAGGTGAGCCATCCATTTGGAGTTGCAACTCTCAACTACCTTGGTGTGTTTCTGTTCTCTCCCTGGTCCCCATTTCAATACATGCAACTTGGAAGGAAAATCATGCATGACTGTCAAACCAAGGGAGTTTCACTATGTTCTCTACCAAAATCCAGTGATACTGCCATGCCAATGCTAGAATTGACTGTCATGGCTCCCTGCAACGGTGCAACAGATACGAGACATGTATTTGTATCGGATCGGATCATATTTATTTTGAGCCTGATACCGGTATCAGTATTTCCTCGGTTGGTGAAAAAATATATTGTATTGGATTTGGATTTACAAATGAAAAAAAAATTGTCTTTTTTTTTCTAAAAAATTGTCTTTTTTTTTCTTCAATACAGCCAAATATCTTATGTATCAAATACGTTTTTGGTGGGATCAGTCATGTGAGACGATACAGAATAGTTGTCTCACTTTCCAAAGACAATACATGTGTATTGTCTCAGGAAAGTGAGACAACACAAATCCGGTATTTTTGGGTTTTCAAATTCTGAGACAATACAGAGAAAATCCTGATACCGTATTGTATTGTCTCTGTTGCACCGTTGCTCCCTGGTCCGCCCCAATAGCTTTGTTCTCACAGCCAGGCGCTGGTGACAGCTAGACATTGCATTTTGTCCTAGTTTTATTGGTAAGTTATTTACTCTCAGTCCACTGGTCAACCTTTTGTTTAAAAGATGAAATTGCTTGGCCGCTGCCAACTTGTTGTCCAATCAATGGCAACCCATTTGATAAAACTAGAACCAGATATTGTCTACCAGCTCAAAACTCTATCATTGGTCTTGAACCTCATGTCTCATTGGCTATTGATTTTAAAGTGTTTTCTCCAGGTTAGTTCATGGTCTGAATATGTATGTATTCAGCCCCAAATGGATGGGTATTCTCAATTCTGTAATTTCATGTATGTTCTGTACCCCCTGTTTTTAACGCTTCTTTTTTATCCTCAAGCTGAGCCTTTCTTTCTTTTTGTTAAGAAATCTTTTCAATAAATCTGTCTAAATCAGAATCTCAGACCAAGATAGTAACACCAACCTTGGTTTAATCAATGCTGCAACTCTTGGTACACAACCAGTTAGTTGCATACTTATAAATATATTCAAACTTCATTTTCATTTGTTTCTCTTTTTGGCTGATCATTTGTGTCCTATTTTTTCTCCATCCAGATCACTGACTAAATTCAAACATTTAATGCCTCCACTCCTCCATAGCACACAACTTGTGAGGCACTTAAAAGGAGGGTCTTAGTCAACCAACTCCCAAATATTTGGGACGTCAAGGGGACTGGCTGCTGACGGTCCCCTGGACATCAAACCCCCTAAGTTTTTTTCTCCCCGGATTTTCACGGCGAAAGGGGTTGTATTGGTTACAACCCCCCGCAATAACGTCGCCCCGAGGCGACCAATATAACATCAATCTCCTTGACCAATTTTATATTGGCCAGGCCCACCGATACATGTTCCCTTTGTTCTAATGTATTGGTGGGCCCAACCAATATAAAATTGGTCAATCAGACCAATCTTATATTGGTCGCCTCCGGGCGACCTTATTGCGGGGGGTTGTAACCAATGCAACCCCTTTTGAAGTGTTTTGGGGGTCAGACCTCCAAAAGGTCCGACTTGTTTTGAGGCTGGCGCCAGAAAGCCCTCAGCGGCCGAGAGGGATTCCTCTTGGCCCACTGAGAGCTGTACACCCTCAGCAGCCAGGAGAAATCTTGATTGCTGAGGGCTGTACACTCTCAGCGGGCAGAGAGGAATCTCTCCCAGCTGCTGAGAGTGTAAAACTCTCAGTGGCCGTGAGGAATCCCCTCGGCCCGCTGAGAGTGTACAACTCTCAGTGGCCGGGAAGAGATTCCAGATTCCTCCTGCCTGCTGAGAGTTGTACACTCTCAGCAACCAAAAGAGATTCCTCTCTGCCCTCTGAGAGTGTACAGCCCTCAGCGACCAAGATTCCTCCTGGCCGCTGAGGGTGTACAGCTCTCAGCGGGCCAAGATGAATCCCTCTTGGTCGCTAAGAGTGTACAACTCTCAGCGGCCAAGAGGTATTCCTCTTGGTCAACAGCCAAGAGGAATCCTCTTGGTTGACAGCCAATGTACACTCTTGGTCGTCAAGAGTGTACCCTCTCCACAGCCAATAGGAATCCTCCCTACCACCAAGAGGGTATACTCAACGGTGGGCCGCTACACTAACCGTAGCGGTTAGTGTAGCGTAACGCAGCGAAATTGCTGTTAGCGCTTAGCGTAGCGTAGCGGGATTCCACCACAACACCGCTAACGCTACGCGTGTGGGCCCCAAAAAAGGGCCCACTACGCTGCGCTACAGCGCTTTATAGCGGTTTTTGGCCGCTTTTTCCGCTAAAAGCGCTGTAGCGCAGCGTAGCGTAGCAAAAACCCGCTAAAAAACCGCTAACACTACGGTTTTTGGATGACAAAAAGCGCCGCTACGCTACGCTTTTTGGGCCAAAAGCGTAGCAGCCCACCGCTGGTATACTCTTGGCGGAGAGAGAACACATCCTGGCTGTCAATTTAATTTTTTTGCTGCCAACTCACAACCCCCCATGGGGCTCTGGAGTATCCACTCCCAAAAAAACCCGGGGGGGGGGGGGGGAATCAAAGATTTTCCTTTCTTTTCTTATTTTTTTCTGAGGACTGACCATTAAACAAGTCGGACCTTTTGGAGGTCCAACTCCCAAAAAACCGGGGAGAAAAAAACTTAGGGGGGTTGACTTCCAGGGGACTGTCCCCAGCTGGTCCCCCGGTTGAACATGACCCTAAAAGTAGGTGATTGGAAAAATGAATCCCAAGGATTCTTCAACGACTCCCAATTACAGTTGTTGGATTTTTCTTGGGAGTTTTTTTTCCAAATGGATGGCCGTCCATTTATATTATTTTTTTTGTAAAGTTTTGGGAGTTGACTCCCAAAACCACCCCTCATGCTTGAGGGGATTTGGCAGTCGCTCCCACATGATCACTGGAAGGATTCCCTTCCAGTCAATGAGAAACAAAAACCTCATCTACTGGAAGGAATTCCTTCCAATCAATGAGGTGTAACCACCTCATCAAATGGAAGAAATTCCCTCCAATCAATGAGGTGTAACCACCTCATCAAATGGAAGAAATTTCTTCCAATCAATGAGGTGTAACCACCTCATCGAATGGAAGAAATTCCTTCCAATCAATGAGGTGTAACCACCTCATCAAATGGAAGAAATTCCTTCCAATCAATGAGGTGTAACCACCTCATCGAATGGAAGAAATTCCTTCCAATCAATGAGGTGTAACCACCTCATCAAATGGAAGAAATTCCTTCCAATCAATGAGGTGTAACCACCTCATCGAATGGAAGAAATTCCTTCCAATCAATGAGGTGTAACCACCTCATCAAATGGAAGAAATTCCTTCCAATCAATGAGGTGTAACCACCTCATCAAATGGAAGAAATTCCTTCCAATCAATGAGGTGTAACCACCTCATCGAATGGAAGAAATTCCTTCCAATCAATGAGGTGTAAAACCTCATCAAAAAGAAGGTGTTTCCTTCTGGTTGATGAGTTACCACAGGCTCATCAACCTGAATGAAATCCTTCTGGTCAATGAGGTATAACAACCTCATTGGCCGGAAGGGATTCCTTCCGGTTTATGAAGTAGCTTTTGCATACCACTTTTTCTTGATTTGATACTTTATGATCAAAAGCAAATCCATTGCATCCAAATCCAAAAATTCCAGGTATCACATAGTATCTTGCAGTTGTTCATCTCTATTTTGCTTTGACAATATAACTTCTCTTGTTATTGTCTGAGTTTTTCCTGTTCAATCTCAATTTTTCCCTTCATGCTGTTGTTCTAAGCCCAGAGTATTTTCTTACCCCTTGCTGAAGTCACTCAGCCAATCTTGGGGAATTTTAGCCAGTCAATTTGTTTGCACGAGCAGTTCATTTTCTTGGTAGTCATCAATTCAACACCTTTTTGTGGCCTTGCCAACAATTGGTCATGAAATCAAAGAAGCTGAAAAGATGCTTGGGTTAAATATACTGTTGGAGTAGTGTTTCTTTTCTCCTTTGTCTTTCTCTGCTTCCCACCTGTTTCAGACCTGTCACCCACCTGTTACAGGATTCAGACTATACCTGGGCCAGAGTACGTGGAAGGATTCCTTTCCTCATCCTTCCACAAAACCATTCCCTGACCCAGGTATGTACCTTTCTTTTTCTCTCTTTTCTTTTTCTTTCTCTTCTGTCTTTCTCTGTGTTTTGTTTCTCTCTGCTGATGAAATATATCATCCTTCCACAAAACCATTCTCTGACCCAGTTGAGTCCAACATATACCAGTCATGGTGGTGGTTTAAGAAAATTCTTGGGTTCAATTGAGTTGGCAAATGAGATTGGCACATCAACTCAGGGGTTGGCTTGCCATTTTGGTGCATGTCAGAGCTCTAACCATGGCAAGGGTTGTTGGACACCATCCCTTTGACCTTGTATGGGTAGTTTTGTTTTGTTGATTGAACCCAATACTTTGTGCTAAAACCACTGGGAGGGCTGTGTTTGATTGCCTTAACTTCTACATCGCATAGAACTTGAGGGTAACTGTGTTTAGTAGCAGTTCATCTGGAACTTGAAGGCTGGTGGCATGAGTAATGAATCTGATAAGAACTTGTGTGCAACAATTCTCACATTGTGCCCACGGGGGAACTATTTTGCTCCTATTCTTTTTTTTTCCTTGGTTGAAAGGTATTGTGGTTGGTGTCTGTTATATTGGTGTCTGTTGAGTTTGAAGTGGGTGTTTAAGAGCCCTTAAAGAGGGCACGAGGGTTTGAATATGCAATACCGAGCGGGCTTACTGACAGCTGCTTCACATTTACCCTCTCTTAAATATTGTGCCTCCGTTTCTCCAACCTCTGCTCTCCCACCAACCCCATCGAGGAGCTGATCGATAACATTAGCAGAAGATGCAGATCGAGACTGAAACCAACGCAGTGGAGGAAGAAAGGAAGAGGCAGAGGAAAGAGCAGAAGAAATTGAAAAAATTAGAGAAAAAACGAAACCGCGATCAGCTTGCAGCCGACCAAACAGAAGAACCACATCAAACCGTACCAACAGCGACTGGCGATCCTCAATCGAAATTGAATCAGGAAGTGGCTTCCAAACACAAATCAAAAGCAGACAGAAAACTTGTTGATACAACAACCGACTCCCCTGAGAAACCGATGGTGGACCAGGAACCACAATCCAAACGACAAAAGACCAATCACCCCCCAATCGAAAGAACCACCGAGCCTCATCGTGATTCAACGAGTGCCCCTCTTCAGGAAGCTGTCGAACCGAAGCCAACTGAAGCCTTGGATAAGTCCCCGAAAGAACCTCTCCGCAAGAAGAAGAAGAACAAAGAACGCAGAAAATCAAAGGAAAAATCTGGAGACCAGACCGACGGCCCGAAAGCGTCGGAAATTATTCCACACAATGACAATCGAGTTCCCGAGTCTCAATCCTGCACGGTCAATAGTCCACAAACGAGGGTTGACTCCCCAGCAAAGGCGGGTACCCCGACATCGAAGGAAGCCCTAGATGGATCCACAAATTCACTTGTTCGCCAGAAAAAGGAAAAACGGAAAAAATCCAAGGAAGCAAGTGGAAAAACTGACGATCCGACATCCTCGACGGTTGCAAACAACGAAGGTCCAGTCGATCAACCACTGGAGCTACAAACCTCTGTTCCAACTCAGACCTCTTGTGAAGAAGCGGGTGATTCGATGCCACCGCCTGAAGGCTTGCAAAACTCCCTAACCGAGCCCAATCCTCCCAAGGAACTCACAAAGTCGAAGAAAAAAGGTCCCGACAAGGACCGCCCAACCGAGTCGATGGCTCCGAATGATCCAGTCGTTCGACCATCAGCAACAAAACGTCCTGAAGGAGAGGTGGATCCCGAGTTAGATCAAATCTTGATCGATTTCAAAAACTCGCACCTCTTGGAAAAAGCTCAACTCCCTGAGTACTTCAAAACCGCAATTGTCCATCGCACTTCTCGGGAGATCTTGACGTCTAAATGGTTAAATATCACTCAATTGAACGAACTTTCTACCATTTTCGGTCAGTCATCCTCAACAGAGAGGGGCATGTCTATCTTCCCTGTCCTAGATTGGCGAATAAGAATAATTTATGAGTCGAATCTTTTTTTGTTTTGGGACTATGAATTGGATACGTGAATCTAGGATTGAAATACAAGAAGGGACGATTTAGTACAGTCGAACAAACGATGATCGAGAAAATGATTACAAAATACTGTGAAGAGCATCGGATCAGTAAAGGGGAATTTGGAAGAATGATAACCCAAAAAAAGAGCAACGCGGCTCGGTGCAAGATGAAAGAGTTGATGCCCTCGATATCGGATGCCCTGCCGGGTCGTCCGCTGATCTCGATCTGGAAATACATCCGTAGGGCGTACGACCCGCAGGCGAAGCTCGGCCGCTGGACTGCCGAGGAAGAGGCGGCGCTCAAGGACGCCCACAAGAAGCATGGCCAGTCCTGGACGTTGATCAGTGAGCAGGTAGGGCGGCCAGCCGATGACTGCAGGGACCGTTGGAGGAATCATACCTGTGTCAAGGACCTCAAGAACCAAGGCAAATGGAGCCAGGAGGAAGAAGACCTGCTGGTTCAACTAATGACTCAATCGAAATCGATCTACTCAGATCCCAAGGATCTCCAGTCCGATGGCCTTTGGACCTGGGTGAGTAATCAAATGGGCGGTCGTCGTTCGCGAACTCAGTGTAGAGTCAAATGGTTTGCCACCACCTCTTCGTTTTTGCCTGCACCACTTTTCTTTTGCTCATCCTTCTTACTTTCGTTCTTGATCAGGGTCGACAGCTTACAACCTAAACACGCCAATGGCGGCGAACGGGGCGTTTGGACAAACAGAGACGTCTTACGTTTGGCTCAACAGTTGAGCACCAACAGTCTTTTTATACTCTCTTATCCCCAGATAACCTAGTGCGGTATTCTGACAGAATTCTATACATTTTTCTTTATCATCATAACAATCAAACAGACTTAAGAAATGTGATCTGGGAGAGGATGAGGTGGGTTTTAATTGGAAGCAAGTCAAGGAGGGAATCGAAGGTTGGGAGATTTGGAATCAAGGATATCTGCAACGGAAGTGGAAGAGTCTCAAGAAGTACATCCTGAAGAAGCACGAAAAGCGTTGGCAGAAATCGGACGGATCTGATGATTCCAGTGATCCTCCACGTAAGTCTTCCCCCCCTTTTGTTTCTCTTTCCTCCTCTCCCTCGATTTCGACTTCCCACCTCTCCTTGGGTATGTGCACCGGTTCAATGACAGGAGTGATGAGGTGCGAGGGACTGATGTTTCGATATATCTATGTGGAACTACAGCGCTTAGTAATCAAGAGATCATAGATCAAGCGATCCAGAAATGGAGCGCTAGAAGTGAAAAGGCTCTCGACACCCCTGTTACACGTAGAGTCGAGAGTCAATTTCCTAGCGAACAGGTCGAAGGAGAACGGTCTGAGGATGATGAATGATTGATTTTGCTCCAGGTTTCATCTCCTAACCAAAAAAAAAAAAGTTCAAATTACATAGATTTTTCTCTTTCGTCTCTTTGTCAGTCATGAATCCAACTTTTTCCAAAAAAAAAAAAACAGAGGAAGGATGGCAGAAGAACAAGCAATATGATCTTGATCAATGGTCTCAATGGTGATCAAACAAAATGCTCAGTTTAGTAGATTATTCCATACAAAGACAAGGTACATCAAAAATGAAATATATCTATTGACAATCTAAGACCTCCTGCTTTTCTCAGCTTCAGCCAAGCATCTAATTCTTATCATACGCAATGAATCAACCATACACTCTTTTCATCAATAACTTATGTGTATCATTTGTGGTTGGCGTTCATCACATAAATTGCTTACTGGCTTATAATCACACCTCCCTTTAAGATCACGATCAAAGCAAAACCTGCTGAATGATCTGGTTCCCAATGGCCATGACGTCATACTTTTTTTTTCTTCTTCTGCAAATTTTATGACCGATTCGTCGATATTTCGGTCTCAGAAATTGGTCATATTGTAAGACAGGCTCCTTTCTAAACGAAGCGAGCCCTGTAATCAATACATGGATGTAAGAAGGATGTACAGATGAAGCACTCCTGAACTTGTTTTTGGTGGCTAGGGGAATGTCCCGATCGGTAAGCTTGTGTGCTGTGATCTTACAATGACTCGAAGATGTTGAACGGACTGATTGACTGGTGGTCGTGGAGTGGGTTGGCGACAGCGAATATTGTAAGGTCTTACATAAATAAACTAGATGCATTAGTAAAGCTGGCTGTATGCGCAAGCTGAGCAAGAAGATCTGATATGTATGTAAATATGTAATGAATTTGTGTCGAGAGTCAAGAAGAAGAAGCCAGACGGGGTTTCGGCAGGTTTCAGACTCGGCCTGGCACGATGACGTATGGAGTGGATGTATGCGTCTGGGCGCTAGGGAGCCCCGTGGGGAAGAGGGAGATGAAGGCCGAGAAGGATGTATGCGTACCCCAGCTGTATGTATGTATGTACGCGTCCCCTCCGATCTTACTGTCTCCGTCCAATCAAAAGCCAGCATTTCGCGACGAGACTCTCGAGTGCCGGTCGCGTAGGTCCTTGACGGATAGCCAAAGGTGGCTGGTAATGCCAAGTCTAATGTTGTACTCGTGCCGGCCGGTTGGAGCTTGGGATCCCGAATAAAACTGGTCCAAGGCCGAATCATGTACAATGTGGGGCGCTCAGAGCTGTCGAACGGTCAGGAATCGAGAATGACCCGATCCGGGCAGATGTCCACCTTTGGTAATTCGGCTTTGTTCTCTCTCTGCTCCTGCTGGCCGATAGGAAAGCGGCTGGTTTGACAATCTGGGAAAACCCAGTGCCTGTTTTGGTCAACAGAGCTTCGGCTGCTGACCGTTGGGGATCGAGGAGGGTGTATGCACTGGTCAGTAAGATACAGTTCCTCTGCAAATCAGTATGGCTTAAGATGAATTAAGCCTGGGCTGGTATGGGTTTTCTTATCGATTTCGATTGAAACCGAACCTTTTTTTATGTAACTGCCCGCCATCTCTGGCCTTCCTTTCAGTCTTCCTTCGACTTCTCTTCTTCACTCTTCCCTTCCCCCTCCCAGCTTAAATACATCTTCCCTCTCTCCCCATCCTCATCCTCATCCTCATCCCCATCCTCATCAGAATAATAATAATAATACTCAGTCCCAGTAGCCAGAACCATCAACCCCACACCACCACCACCACCACCAGCCACAGCCACAGCCACCAACAATACATAATCACCTGATCGATGGATCCTCCTACCACTCCAATCCCTGGTCCATCCTCACCACCCTTCTCCACCGGGCCCTCACTCCACTCTACACCCGTCCGCCCTTCCCTCTCATTTGCCCATCATTCCCTAGGCAGCACCGCATCATTCGTCGGCATCCTCAAGGCGGTCAGTCCTAAAACATTTCCTCCTTTCCAGAGCTCAATCTCAGATACTCATTCTTTTTTACATCCTCTCCCATCACAGGCAGCCCTCAGTGAACTCGAAAATTCAGATTTCTATGGTTCATCACGCAGCCCCGACAAAAAAGCTTCAATCGCTCAGCAGAAGAATTCTCACAAGAATCTCAAAGCAAAACTTGAACTTGACAGCGAAGATGATGATGAAGATGCAGAAGAAGAAGAAGATGATGATGATGATGACGAAGACGCGGAAGAAGAAGGAACAGAAGACGAAGATGATGACGGCGAAAGTGCTCAAGACGATCTTGTTGATACGCCCCCAGAACTATCCCCAAAATTTAACTCTTTCCGGGGTCCATCTCAACTTGGCTACCCAAGCCCAAAGGCATTACAAGGACTAGCTTGCGAACTAATCAATCAACAGAAACGCGTTGCAGACTTAGCAGTGCGCAAAGGAATCAATTCTTCAACATTCACTCCTGAACCCTCTTCTCATCGATCGTCCCTGAACCAGTCCACCCCTCGATGCTCATCGCCACTTCAAATCAGTCGTAAAGATTACTCAGGAAGCGCGCCGATCACAGTCTCCGATTCTAACAACACCACTCAATCATCATGCGCTGATTCTGAATCTCATGTGAGCAGCGAAGAGCGTCTCCATAGGTTAGAAGAACAATTCGGCGTCTGGCCCGGAAAGGATGCTCAAGGTCAACCAGAAACTGAATCATGGATCGCACAAGTCCCCGGCGTCCTCTACCGCAGTGTCCTTGTCAACGGCTTAATTGTACTCACTGATCGCCGGTTATGTTACCTCGCATACTTACCTACGTTTGACAAGGGTCAGATCATTCGCGTAAGTCACCAGCGACCTCCTTTCTTATTCGCGCGATTGATCGACCAAAGAAGTCTAAATTATCCTCCCCCCTATCATTTTTTACAGAGTGGATCAGTTACCGTTAAAGCTGACAGCCGGTTCAACAAACGCCGGAGACGATGGGTTGAATTGAGGACAGAGTTTGTTACCTCACAAATGCCCTTATCCTCACCCTCACCCACAACTTAGCTGACCAAATAACTTACTTTTATTTACTCAGTTCATTGACCGAGTATCGCCTGAGCACTGAATTATTCCGACCCTTGTCATCTTACCACTTCTCGGAGATCCAAAGAATCCTTCCAATCAGCTCCGGACAATCTAGAACGCTATCCTTAAGGCTGTTGGATGGTCGACTGATTGTTGTAGACTTTGATACTTCCGAAGCTGCCGACCTCTGGCATCAAGACTTTGTCCGGGCCTTATTCAGCTTCAAGACAGACTACTCCAACCAAATCAAGATGATGCTTCCCCTGAGCCGAATCAACAGCGTCCATCGTGAGACGTTTGAAAGCATTGCCAAAATGATGGTCTTCGAAGTCGATTGCGCACCCTCCTTCTGCCGCTCTGCCAAGAGTGATGTCATCGAGCAGCACTCTGATCATCCCAGCACTCCCGAACGGCCAAGGATTGAATTGTCTTACTATCTCAAACACGACCCTTTCGATGACACCGTCATTGATGCCATCACCCACGCCAAACACAACGCGTCTCAACATCTCTTCCCCGATTCCACCCCGGCCCCTCTCCTCGAACTTCTCGATCATTCCCCAGCTGAAGACGAGGCTGAGGCCGAGAACATCACCTCCGGGAAGGCTGACTCCAATAACTCATGCAATAGCAAACTTGCTAATCGATTCATGAAGGCATTTGGATTGGATGCTTCTGAAAAACTCACCGGTGCGTTTGCATCTATCAAAATCACGCTTGAGTAAATACTGATTTGTCAGCTTGCATGTCTTTAGTCTACTCGTGTGCCTTGCTGCGTACTCTACCCACTCTAGGTCACATGGTCCTCAGCAATGATTATTTCTGTATGCATTTTCCTCGCAGTTCCAAGAGAACTAGATAACTGGAACACTGACTAATCCTTTTGGACATTCTTTCTTTCAGGCTTTTGGCGGAGGGGTACAGTGATCACCCAAGATTATAAACTGAGGATCCCCATTAAAGATATCGGCCAAGTTAAAGAAGCCACCGCATTTGGATTTACGCGTTTTGGTATTGCTATTGAATTAGCAGGGGCGCCAGACATCCGCCTGGATTTTTCATCCAAGTCCACACGAGAGGAAGTCATGCAAGCGCTTGAAGACCATGCCCAAGCTGCGAAGGCTGAAGAAAAACGGATCAATAGACGGCTCAGTAACATGCCGATCCCTAAACCATTAGGTCAAAATACTGAACAGTTCAAGCTCGCCTCACCCGCCTTGAAGAAACAGAGACCAGTGGTGATTGACAAGCAACAGATTGAAAGGCCTGTCAAAGCCATGAAGATCATCTGTCTTGCCATTGGCTCACGTGGCGATGTTCAACCGTATATCGTAAGTCATCATCATTTGTGTGCTGCGTTCCCCCTTTCCACAATTTTCCTTAATTGTTTCTCTCCTTCGCATCCTCTAGTCCCTTGCCAAACGGCTTATGCAGGACGGGCACACTGTCACCATTGCCTCACATCCGGAATATCGGCCTTGGGTCGAGTCATTCGGCATCCTTTACAGGGATGTAGGAGGAGACCCAGCAGCGCTGATGGTGAGTGTTCAATCTGTTTCTCCATTCAAAGGCTTGGTGTATAAATTGAGATGAAAAACTCTCCCATTAGAAATTGTCCGTCGAGCACCCATTTTTCAGCACTGGGTTTTTCAAAGAAGGACTCGGTCGTTTCAGGACTTGGCTGGATGACCTCTTCATGGAGTCCTGGTTGGCGTGTCGAGACTCAGGAGCAGAATTATTGATTGAGAGTCCTTCAACTTTCGCCGGTATACACATTGCTGAAGCCCTTCGGATTCCGTACTTTCGAGCGTTTACGATGACGTGGACCAGTACATCGACCTATCCACAAGCATTTGCTTCGAATATCGACCTGGGACCGTCTTACAATCTTCTGTCGTACTCTTTGTTCGATAACTTAATCTGGCGTGCTATGTCCGGCCAAGTGAACCGATGGCGGAAACAGACCCTGAAGATTCCGTCGACCTCACTGGAGAAGATGCAACCCTACAAAGTGCCGTTCCTGTACAACTTCAGCTCAGTGGTTGTGCCGAAGCCGCTCGATTGGCGCGACCATGTCGACGTGACCGGCTACTGGTTCCTCGACCAGTCCCATGGGGAATACACCCCGCCTGCTGACCTGGTTGCGTTTATTGACGCGGCGCGCCAGGATCAAGTACCGTTGATCTACATCGGCTTTGGCAGTGTCACCGTCTCCGACCCAACCGCCGTCACCAAAGCGATCTATGCAGCCGTTGTCCAGGCCGGAGTCCGGGCTATCGTCGCCAAAGGATGGAGCGAACGTGGAAACACTAAAAACTCCCTCGACGATGCCCCCATTGATCCTCCCGCTCAGGTCTATGATCTCCATTCCGTACCCCACGATTGGCTCTTCCCCCAGGTTGACGCCGTTTGTCATCATGGTGGCGCTGGTACTACCGGTATCTCGTTGAGATATGGCGTGCCTACCTTGATCCATCCTTTCTTCGGTGGTATGTCCTTTCCTCAATCTTATCCAAAAAGAAGTGCTCAGATCAATTGACTTTCTTCTTTTCTGTTTCACCCTTCTTTTCCCAGACCAACCATTCTGGGCTGACGTAAGCTCATACGATTCATTATCTCCCTGTCAATGCAAAAACTAATCAATTTTATTCAATTTTCTCATTTTTGTTAAATAGCGAGTGACCAAACTAGGAGCAGGAATGAGAGTGGATTCGCTGACAACGCAGAGCTTATCGGATGCGTTTATCAAAGCCACCGGCGACAGAATCATGAAGGAGAAAGCGAGCCAAGTGGGGGAGAAGATCCGGGCGGAAGACGGCCCCACTCGGGCGGTGAACTTCATCTACCAGTACCTGGACTTTGCGCTCGAGCGAACTGAGCATCGGATTGCGCGGACCTCCCGGAAGAAACGCTGGGTCTCCAGTGTCTCCGGGTGTGCCGCCAGTCAACCGGCGGCTAGCGTCGATGGCTCTCATCCGGAACTCGAGAGTCCGGCTCTCAGGAAGGCCGATCTTCCGCCTTGCTCCGCTTCCTTCGAAAACGAGGACCCTAATCATTTGTCCGACAGCTCGCCTGACTCCCCTTCCCTTCTCCCCGCTAACGCTCAGGGAAAGTTGGCTGATCCTCCCCAAAGTCCCGACGATGGAACCCTCACTCGGAAGAAAAGCATCGCTGGAGGCCCCATTCGCTCTTATAGCCATCTCATCAAAATCCCTAACGCCATCTCTCCCGTTAAGTCTTGGTCCAAAATTAAAAAAATCTTCCTGTAAGCCTTTCTTTCACTCATAGACTTGCTTATCAATGCCGTCCTTACGTGGTCTCTTTCTCTTACTCTCTTGGGGTTTGTCAGGCATCCTAAAGTCATCCCCAACGTCGGGTGACTTGGCAGCTCGGCATCGACCACTCATTCCAAGAAAATCTCAAGTAGTATATATTAATCATCCACTATGATCATCATCCCCTTCCTATGTCTTAGACTATTTCTCTTCTCTTTTTATTGCTTGTCATCCTTTCTTTGTTCTTCGTTCTTCAAAAGCCCAAAAGATTTTAGTATCTTATCATTTTATTTATGATTATCAATCTTCTTCGACTCTTTCTAATCCATCTCATCTAGTTGATGTCGTTTTTTACTATCATTATTATCTCAACCTAAAAAGCTTATGTATCGAACTCGATCGTCGAAGAACACACATAGCCAGTCAAGTCATTCTATCTAATTCCCTTATCTTTATCCTTCTATTATTTAGGTTTCTTTTTTTTTTTAATCGTGATCATCATTTATCGTTCGATTTTCTGCCCCTTCATCTTACTTGTCATCTGATTAATCAATCACCTCTCGTCTTTTTCCCCTTTGTTTGTTTGTTTGTACCTCCAATCCTCCCCAATAGTCGTTGTTGTTGTTGTTATTATCCGCGTTAGTTGACCCCAGTTTTTGTCGTCAGTTTCGTCCTGCATCGTCGTCGTTGTGTTAGTTGTTGTTCCCCATCCTCAGTAGTAAATTCATATAATGATCAATCCCAGTTTTCTTCATTGTTTTTTTTTTTTTTTTGGTGGTCAAGCATGTGGTACAGGCCAGCTCATCAAGGCCACTTTTGGCTGTGGGTCCAACTACTTGCTGCTGTGTGAACAACCCAGCCCTCAGTAAAATTTCAAGGATTGACAGGTCCGCATTTGATTGCTGACAGCTTGACAACTGGGGGCGGATTGCAATGTTCGATTTGCTGTACATATTGTGTTTCCAAGAAAGCGTGGATCGGTTTGCTTTTTGAATTTTTTGTAATATCCTTGGAATTTGATTTTGCTAATCCCATATTTTCATTTATTGATCAGTCGGGTTTTATCTTGACAGATGTCAGATACAGCTATTTCGGAAAGGGTTGTCCACTTGGACTCGCGAATTCTTTTTTATTTTGGGCCTTAATAAAAAAACGCGGTTTTTCCGCGTTTTGACGCGGTTTTAACGCGCCGCAGCACACGCGGTTTCCGCGTTTAGACGCGGTTTTATTAATTAATTTTTTACCGCTTATTTTTCGAGTTTTTTTGAATTTTTAAAATTGTTTCCTATGTTTTAAAGCGTGCAGAATTTAATGGTAAAAACCATTTTTCATAAAAATGAGTTTTGATTATTAATTTTTTTTTTCCACTTATTTTTCAATTAAATGTTTACATACATGTTTCTACCTCATTTTTTTATGCTTTTTTGAAATTTTAAATTTATTTCCTAGGTTTCAATGTGTGTAGAATTTAATGGTGTAATCCAAATTTTTCAAAACTCAATGGTTCATTTTCAATACTGAAATTAGACACATTTTTTCACTTAAATTTCTACAGGTTAATTTTCATTCTTTTTTGACATTTTAAATTTTTTTCCTACACTTTAAGACATGGTTAAAATGATGGTAAAGCTCATTTTGGATCAAAATGAAAACTATATCTTGAATACTGCATTTGACATGTTTTTTTATTTAATTCTCCACTTTTTCACTTGATTGTTTGCATTAATTTTTTTACCTTACTTTTTATGCTTTTTTGAAATTTTAAATTTGTTTCCTACATTTAAAAGTGTTTAGAATTTCATGGTAACATTCCATTCCCGTAAAACTCAACAGTTCATACTGAATACTGTAATCAGCCTCAAAATTCAATTAATTCTTAAGAGCTTAATTTTCATTATTTTTTGACATTTTTAATTTGTTTCCTACACTTTCAGACATGTATAGAATTATGGTAACAATGAATTTGCATCAAAGTGAAAACTATATCTTAAATACTGCATTTGATGTGTTTATTTAATTAATTCTTACACACTTAATTATCCTTATTTTATGGAATTTCAAGTTCATTTCCTACACTTTGAAAGGTTTTGGATTTGATGGCTGTATTCATTTTGCATTCAAATAAAATCTGTATACAGTAAAAATTACGCAAGAAACGGGGTACACTCATGTATTATGATTGAAGCTTTTATTTTCAGGCAAATTGGAATTCACCATTAAGTTCTACACATTTCTGAATGTAGGAAATAAATTTAAAATTTCAAAAAATGATCAAAATTAAGCTGGTAAAAATCAATTTAAAAAACATGAAAAAAAACCTGTCCAACACAGTATTCAATAACAACCTTTTATTTTTATGTAAAATGATTGTTACCATCATTTTATACATGTCTTGAAGTGTAGGAAAAAAATTCAAAATGTCAAAAAAGAATCAAAATTAACCTGTAGAAATTTAAGTGAAAAAATGTGTCTAATTTCAGTATTAAAAATGAACCATTGAGTTTTGAAAAATTTGGATTACACCATTAAATTCTACACACATTGAAACCTAGGAAATAAATTTAAAATTTCAAAAAAGCATAAAAAATGAGGTAGAAACATGTATGTAAACATTTAATTGAAAAATAAGTGGAAAAAAAAAATTAATAATCAAAACTCATTTTTATGAAAAATGGTTTTTACCATTAAATTCTACACTCTTTAAAACATAGGAAACAATTTTAAAAATTCAAAAAAACTCGAAAAATAAGCGGTAAAAAATTAAATAAAAAACCGCGTCTAAACGCGGAAACCGCGTGTGCTGCGGCGCGTTAAAACCGCGTCAAAACGCGGAAAAACCGCGTTTTTTTATTAAGGCCCTTTATTTTTTTATTTTTTTTATTTTTTATTTTTTTACTGAACTGGACCTGTCAGAACTGAACTACGGATGACAGCTGTACCTCCTCGGCTGTAGTTCAGTACAAAGAAAACTTTAAAAAATTTCAAAAAAAAAAAAAAAATCGCGAGTCCAAGTGGACAACCCTTTCCGAAATAGCTGTAACACCCAGGGATAAGACCACCTCCGGAGCCATGTTGCTCCAGACGTAGATGCTCTTGGAGGAGAATTAAGAAAAAATGAGGTTTATATTTGGAACCGGAGCAGTTTGCGAACTTATCAAAGTCCCTCGCTTCGGAGGGCCTGGTGGCCTTGGCTGGCGTGGAACGCCACTCGCGCAAAGCGCGAGCCTCCGAAGGAGGGGCTTAAGACAAACACGAACAGGCCCGCGTGTCACGGTTGGGCACTTTTGGTGTAACGCACATTGAGCTGGATGTACAGCATTTACATCACTAGCTATTGGCGATTTGAGTAGACAAGCTTTTGGTGCTTGGTGATGCCTCTCACCTCATCCAATTTTCAGAACTTCATCTTGAAAATTGGATGAGGTGGATCTTTTTCAAGTTGGTCAAATTGAGAAAATGTTCTCACATGGTAGGCAGTGAGATTGAAACTGGCTTATGTAAGCTCAGCCAATTTGCCATTGGGCAAATTTTCCTTTAAAATTTTTCAACTGTGTAGTTTTCATTTTTTCCCAAAAGTTTCTTGATAGAAGTCAAGACCTCCATGTTGGGCATCTTCACTCCCTCTCAGCTTTCAAGAAATCCAAAAGCTGGATTTTCTATGATTTTTGGCGCAAAAAACAGCCAAAAAACTCAACTGTGACACCCAGCCGTGTTTGTTTTGGGCTCAAGCCTTTCCCGCACTTCGTGCGTTCGACGGAGAGGCTGTACAAGCTCGAGCAGTTTGGAAGGCCAACAAGCCGATCACTGGGACCGCCGGTCACTCCCTTCTGCCCCATCTAAGGCTGGGCCCTGGGTGATACAACCCAAGGCCTCTGGAGCCTCCCGCGCTGATACCCAAGGTCGGGTACCCAATTTCCTAGTCCCGGAAGGTATCCGACGGTTATCGGGTACCCCCCACGGGGACCAACTGCCAGATTGCCTTCGGCAGCAATTTTTTTTTGGGGGAGTTTTCATCAAAAACGTTAGCTTTCCTCCTGAAAGAGGTTGCCTGCAACTTCGATCCCAGTCATTTGCTCTGGTTTGAACGTGGGAGTCGTTATGTAAGTAAGATCTCCGTTCTGTCAGATGTGGTGTAATGCAACCCAAATCTCAGTGGTCCATTATCACAAACATCTGTGGTTCAGAACGCACACCAAACAACTGTAAGTGCCTCAAGCATGGCCTGACCATGAGCCTCCTTGCTTTTCTTATTTTTTTGTTTTGATTTCAGCTTCCAAATACCACTGGAAGTGAAAGGTTGGTCTCCAACCCTTTCCAAGACTCCGCCCGAGGTCCATTCCCAAAGATATCCAATTGGGTAAAAATCCCTCAATATCCTCCCGCGTTCCGACAAGCTGGGTCAGATAGATCGGGTATACCCGACTGGGTCGGGGTCGGGGCCCACCCTTAGCCCCATCAGTGATGCCGACCAAGCACTGGACTGTTGCATGAGCTGAGAAAAAAGTTGAAAGCCCTGGTACAACTGAGGCAGAAACATATTTGAAATTAATAAAGCAGAAAGGTAAATCCATATTCATAAATTGCAAGGATTACAAAAAATTCAAAAAGCAAACCAATCCAAGCTTTCTTGGAAACGCAATAACTGAACATATGAACTAGGTAGAAGAGGCAAACTCATGTGGTTGTAGCTAACTTAACTTAAGTCCCTCCAATTGGAGGGGGGTGCTGTCCCACACAGCACAATTCAACAAGTGGTTTACCACTCCAACAAAGGGGGGCAGGGACTTGGTTAAGTTAGTGCTTGTAATAATGTATGTAGTAATGTAAGATTCAAAACAGAACAAAAGCAGGCAAGAGTTGAGAATTCTGTACTCATTTCAAATACTACTCATGAATCATCTTTCTATCCAATTGATCTGGAATCCATCATGTCTAATTTTCACCTTCTCCTGTTATAATTTTGGGGTAAATTTTTCAAGAAACCAGCTTGACATGCAAACTGTTCAAAAGGATTCTTGAACCCTATTTATGGATATTCACCAGGTCTATTTGAGATGCTGCTTTGTTAAAATGATAATCATCAGTCAGGGTTTGTTTTTTCAATTTCAATTCTTTTGTTTTTTTTTTGGCCATTGAGGATGGGAGTCAAATATACATACAAATCCTGCAATTCTAAAGTGAAATACCGCTTCACCAAAGGAATAATTATTGCATTTGACATGTCAAATTTCTCCCTGATAAACAAAAAAAGAAACAGTAAATCAAAAGATCCATGAGGCTGAGGTTAAAGAAGTTAGTAGGACAAAAAAGGCAAACAAACATTGTAGTTTTTTTGTGCCCAAAGAATCCAATTGTGTGATTGATCAATTCTGGGGCCAAGCCTTCTTCAAATTTATTAATGCATGGATATGCTCTAGGTTTCAAGCAATAAGAATTAGCAGCATCAATGATCTCAACTATACTGCCAGTTTTTTGATTTGCTAGTCTCAATTGAAATTTGACATACAGTAAATGCCTCTTTAATAGGGGATACATCTTGTGATCAACTCCAAATATTCCTAGTGCACCTTCAACATATAAATCCAAGGAACTAAAATAAACTCATGTTTTGCATTACCCATTCTGTTCCAGTAAGACGAGGAAAATTCAGCTCCAGAGTCAAAATCAATGAGCAAACTTACAGGTTACTTGTGGCTTTTATTGCTTGACTATGTTCAAATTGAATCACAAGTATGTGTCCAAGCCAGATTTCAACACATATATTTTTTGTTTCATGACATTGAGAGGTAGAAAGTTTGATTCAATACATACTGATACATCAATTCTCCAATGAAAATTTTCACTGCATCATG